AAGTGGTCACGAGTGTTAGTCTAATAGGCCATTGTAGTTTATAGATTTATTGCACCAGCATAGCAAGGTCATTTCCTTTAACAACTGGCAGAAAGAGAAAGCAACTGAAGAAAGCAATCTTTAGTTTGGAGAGAAGTCACCAGGTTAGTGATCACTCTAAAGTATACAGTTATGCAGTCATCTTTTTATCTATCTTTCTCTCTTACTCAGATTTCAGAGCCTTCTGTGGTCAAGAAAATATTTTGTGGATAGTATGAAGGTCTATGGCTCGAGCTACATCTACATGCCTGCGTTTTCCATGAGGCCTGGCACAGACCCATCACTGCGGGCATATTACACACTGGCAGATTCCTCCTCCAACCTCACCATGCTTTTTGCCAACCCTGAATTCCTACGCACAGTGGGTAAATTTTGGAAATCCCATGGTGTGCATGCCAGGCGCCTATCCACAGGGCTCTTCCTGGTGAGCTTAGCCCTAGGACTGTGTGAGGAAGTCACAACCTACGGCTTCTGGCCGTTTTCTGTCGACCTGGATCAGCGACCGGTCAGCCACCATTACTACGACAACATCCTGCCCTATAAATGGTTCCATGCCATGCCTGAGGAGTTTGTCCAGCTTTGGCATCTGCACAAAAGCGGCACGCTTCGTGTGAGGGTGGGACGTTGCGCCCCTCAGGAAGGAGGAAGTTAGAGCACCTTGAAAAGTGAAGCGATTGTACACAGCTCCATCTGTCTCCCTACGCATTCCTGCTGTAAACCCCCAATCCCCACCCCCACCCTAGCCCAGCTGATCCCTAATTACTATGAGAATGTCCTCCACCCATATGAGCCACACTAGGGAAAAAGGAACACAGTGACACATGCAGGCACGCACTCACACAGCATAACATATTTACACATTCCTGAAACTAGCCATATCTACCTGTGTTTCTGAAATTGTGTATGTGTGCATGGTTGAGTGTCTGTATGGAAAGCATCATCTGGGACTAATACATGTGAAAGTATGGGAGTGGATGATTGGGGGATGGATTTTGTGCACTGACTGTGTGTAACTGACAGAAGGGGCAGCTGGAGCACATTCCCCTCTGGGACTTTGTTAATCAAGAATAAAAGAAGTGGAGGGCGGAAAGGGGGACAAATAAGACTAAAAGACTAGAGATAATGGTAGTTCCTAGTAACTTGAATAGAAGCTAAATTTAATAGAGGAAGGGAAAAAAGGTAAACTTTGAAGTTGAGTCATTAAAAGCCATCGGCCAAGATTTTAAATAGTCTAAAAATTTTACGTTTGAACCTGGACCTCTCTTCCACTGAAGATTACCAAATTCAGTTTCCGTCTTAGCTTCACTTGCTGTCATCTGCATTTTATCCTCGTCAAGCTACATCTTTTAGCTTGTTGCTGCTAAGGATGTAAGCTTTATCTAATAACGAAAACTCAATTGAGTGCTGAGGTGAATAAGATGACTCTTGATACATATTCATACTTCAGAGTACGCTGGATTAAAATAGGTGCTCTGCTGTTTATGTCCCTGTTGCCAGGATAGATCATGGTATCATTAGCTTGATCAAGGAGGGCTTTTTTTTCCACCACTCACATACATGCCTAACTCAGGGTGAACATGCTCCGAGTTGACTGAACTAAGTGTTATCATCCTTTCTAGAGCCAAGAACGGAGTTTCCCATCTTTTATTTAATCAGTTAGACTCAGTGTTTGATGAATCTGTCTTCTAGAACAGGACCAAGGGGAACATGGGAAAAAACTAGAAGTCTCACACACACATATACAATAGGGGTGCAACGATACTCATATCGATATTGAACCGTTCGATACAGTGCTTTTGGTTCAGTACGCATATGTATCGAACAATACATCCATCCATCCATTCGCTTCCACTTATCGTTTTCAGGATCCTATCCCAGCTGTCATAGGGCGAGACAGGTCGCCAGTCTGTCGCAGGGCTAACACATAGGGACAGACAACCATTCACACTCACATTCACTCGCACATTCACACCTAGTGGCAATTTGGATTATCCAATTAACCTATCCTCACAAGCTGCATGTCTTTGGATGGTGGGAGGAAGCCGGAGTACCCGGAGAGAACCCACGCAAACACGGGGAGAACATGCAAACTCCACACAGAAAGACCCCGGCCTGATGGTGGAATTGATCTCAGGACCTTCTTGCTGTGCGGCAACAGTGCTAACCACCGTGCCACCGATGCTGTCTGTGTTGAGCGCTCAGTGGATCTGCGTTCGACATCATCCTAGTGCAAAGACAAGTGGAAGCAAACAAAAACAACAAGCACGCATGCTACAAACTTTACCTGAGTCATTTAGACAGCTGTTAGCATGTGATTCTCCTTATGGGGACCTGATATGTTTAATATGCTGCTGAGAATATAGCCCAGAAGAAGCATATAGTATAGCTTTTATTTTGGAAAGAGCCATTTCTCTGTAATAAACTCTCTTTTCTAAAGATGAGTGATTTCGCGATCAGATAGTTTTTTTTATTATTATTATTTTGCTGTTTCAGCAACATTAAAGTTAAAAACTGTACTTTTGAATTAAAATATATATTTATAATTTTAATAAATGACAAATTAAAAAGCATGAACATTTTTTTGTATTGAAAAAATATCGAACCGTGACACCAAACTATCGAACCGAACCATGAATTTTGTGTATCGTTGCACCCTTCATATACACACGGGGGGGGGGGGGGGGGGGGGGGGGGGGTGAAGAAAGAAGATTAAAAGTTGTGTTTATGGAAGGATTTTTCTCTGCTTTCCTTTAAACAAGCGCTGGGGTGCCAAATAGAGCTTTAGTTCAAAGTAAAAGCCATTAGAAATGTTGTCTTAAGTACGATATTCCCTAGAATGTTTAGCCAAGATGCATTTTAACCTGGTGTTCAAATGGTTTTCTTTGCCAAATGGGATTTTTCAGGACTATGACAATTCTTTTTTTTAAGGTTCATTGTCAAGGGGAAAACATCTATAAGCAAAAATGAACATTTGCTAATTAGACAAAATGAACACACACACATAAGTACCTCACCTTTTATTTGACTCTAATCATCAATGACTGAATCTTTGGTACGTTTCAACTGTTAGCAGAACTCGTAGACCAAAAGAAGAAAAAGAAAAATGCACAGCCAGTGCATTTCTTCAGAGGGGTTGCTGGAAGTTGTCTCTTGGTAACTGTACTATACTTGTGAAGTGCCAACAGTGGTCTCTTTGATACATGATGTTGAATTGGGTGAGGGCGTGACAGAAAGAGACAGAAAAATCCTGTCACTAAATTACATTTCAATCAGTGTTGTTGTTTTTTTTATCATTACCTGAACTTATGAGGTAAGTTTTGTGATTTATTCATGCCGATTTATTCATGTGATCATGACATGCTGTTATTTAGCAACGAAGGATGACTAACTGGAAAGTGCATGGAGTATTGTACCACAATACTATATTCCTCTGAGTCAAAGTTGAATTATGTTCATAGGTTTGTGCTTTATGTTCTTGTCCACTCTGATACGCTGAACAAGGTCCAGTGCCTTTATGCTCTACTAAAGCGAAAATAATAATTTAAACAAGGGATATTTCTAATGCTAATCATGTATCTTGATTTTCTTGGCTAAATTTGGATCAGTTGGACGATATGTGATATGTAATAATGGCTGATGATATGTAAATGTAACTTAAAATGAGTTGTACACATAGCTAGACCATGTTATAATTTGAAAAAAAAAAGGTCTAGTCAAAATACATCTGTTGTTCTATAAGACTTTGAATTTGGCTGAAATTAGCGCTGGTCTAGGATTGTGATTTATTACTTTCTTGTACTTTCTATTGGGATGTTTCATATTTGCACCTTTATTTCATGTTGTGTTTCCTGTCCAGTGTAGTGAATGAATGATATGTGACATAATTTGAATTTTAGGAAAGCATGACGATCTTTGAATACTTATGTGCATTTGGTACCCAGACTTTTTATGCTGTGATGCAAGTTTTCATTTGATACTATGAGTGATTTGAGCAAGTGAAAACACTATAAGCAAAGCTGCACTCGTCTGTGAAAGTGAAGTAAATGTTAATATGTGTCCATTAGCAAAATTGCAGGTCTAAAACCAGTTAGCTATCCCTGTACTAAAACACCTGTTTCACTAAACTGAGTGGACTGCATCATTAATTGTAAGAAATCTATGAGAAATATAATTTAAAAATTTTTCTTGGTTTCTGTGGAGTAAATATTTATCTACAGCAAAGTGTAACTAGTAGCTTAGCATACAGCTACATATCCCTGGCAAAATCACAACTTGTCCCATTTAACTACCCAAGATAACACTAAACTGTGCAATTTCTGAAGTAGCAACAATACTAGACTTGGTCTGTTGCTTGTTGCAGAAAGTTGGGGGTAAAAACATTATAGGGAGAAAATGCATGATACTTGCATCCTAAAAAGTTTTTTTTTTTTGTTTTTTTTTTTTTAATGAAATAGGTTTCCAATTTTAAAATGTGGCACAATGAATTTGATCAACTCTATTCTAAAACTCTTATTTGTCAGTGTTGTTAATTTTATAAAATAATTAAGGGCTTTTGTTTTGTAAATTACACATATATTAAAGCATATTAGTCTACTGTTAAGACATAGCTGACTTTTATTTTGAAAATCCAACACCCACTTGGCCTTTCTGTTAATCATTGTCAGGGTCTGATGCTGTAGACTAATTTCCATCAGTATGTGTATGTGAGAAAGAGGAAGACAAGAGCAACTTTACATTGTGATTGGAAACTTAATTAGCGCTAGAAGTACTTTTGGGTTTCCCATACATAAATCAAGCAGTCAGATCATGTTTAATCAACATGTCAGCTGTCAAGTTGCTTACACTTGTGTCAGTGACACAGCACTTAAATGTACCATTGTGATTGTATTCTGTGTAACTGAAAAAATCTGTTAAATTTTGCTTAGCACTACTCACAAGAGATGGCTAGTGGTCAGAATAACAGCTAATAATAATATTTATATGTAATGTTCTTTTACGTTAACCGACCCAAAAAGTGACTTTACAGATCTGTGTTTGGGTTTTGTTTTTTTGTTTTTTTTAAACCCCTAGTATTAAAATTTTTATTGTTTCTGTGTTTCTTCAAAAAATGCAACAAATTCCTAGATTGCAATTGCAAGTAATTGCCTCACACAGAGGAAGTCACTTTGGTGTGAAAATGGTGTTTCTGCAACAAACAATGTAAGAGAGATAACCATTAAAGAAAACGTTTTAAAAAGTAATCTAATTTTTTTTAAAAAGTGCTTTGTAACAGTTAGACCAAAGAGCCAATTAAACCACTTCACAGATAGACTTGACAGAACCAATTTAACTTTTTTTTTAACTGTTTTTACTAACCCAAGCTAAGAAGCACTAGTTGTAAATGTATCTTAGATTAGCTTAACGTACTGTAGCTCAGAAATAACAACTAAAGTAACTAAACTAAATCCACTAATAGTCAACTCACACTCAAATTTAATCTTTGGTCATCTGTGTACTTAAAAAAAATGGAAAACAAATTAAAGATACAATTTTATAGCCCTAGCCTATGAGCTTTGTAGCATTTGGACAAAGGTTGCTTGCGTGTTTTTGCTAAGCTAAGGTAACTTGCTGCTGATTGTACCTTTGGGACACAAATGATATATATATTTCCTAAAATGTCAAACAAAAGACAGCATTCTCTGAGGTTTTTTGAAAAAAGTGCAATTAAAATATAGCATCACAGCATAAACACAAAAGCAGTATTGTTAGCATATTCCTTCCTGTCTCCGTCCAGCATTTCCCATCAAGCGCCAGTATGTGTGGCTCCAGTGCACACTGGTAACACCCTTGTAATAGAAAGGTTACATGCTTTATCTGCAGTGTTTTTAAATTAGACACCTCCATGTGATGACAAAGTGAAACCTATGATTAGCTCTTAGTTCTATAATACAGTTCCACGGCGTCATGGTAATGATATCTTCTGCTAGGAAAACAGTGTTTTGTTGTCATAGTGAGGGTTTAGTACTGCAAATCAGGACACAGAGCAGTTCAGGTTGCTTGTGAAATCTTCACATTCGTGTGTAAGGGGAATAGTAAGGTGGGTCAGCTAGTACACTAATTAAACCAGTTGTGATCTGATCAATCTAATCAATAGTTTTGCTAAGAAACTGCACAAGTTAATGACACTGTGTATATGAGTTTTTGTTTTGCTATCTGCATCCTCAGTTCAAATAGGAAGACATTTTTATGCAACCCCCGAGGGTATTAAAAAGAAATCTTTAAAATTCAAAGACACTAGTCAAAGATCATTGAAACGGAAATAATCATGTGTAAATACAGTTTGCCTTCCCACACCCCTGTGTTTGGATTGAGATGTGTCCATAAAGTACAGCTTTTCTACACATTTAAATATTCAATGTTATGCAAAGCTTTTTTTTTTTGTTTTAATTGCCGTGTACATGTGTCTTATCTGCCTTGACTGAGTACATTTGATATAAAAAGATGAAGAAATACAACCTTATTGAAGGCGTTGCATTTTGCTTTACTCTGGCTTGCTCCTTATCCGCTCATTGAAGTTATGACATGTTCCTGCCTCAGCATGGTAAAATAAATCAGGACTGCTGTTGGACTAGAACCAGTTTTATCTGCCACCTGGAATAAACTGTGAAAGATAAATTAAGAGGGGGGAAAAAAACAATGAATCCAACTTATCAATAAACAAGTTGAATAAAGGAATCCAATAAAAAAAGGAATATGCATTTTTTTGTGGTTTTCTTTAAGAA